CACCCTGAAGACCCATCTAATGATATAATCCCATGAGTAAAAGCATCTCTCATGTTGTCATCTTCTCACTGATTTCTCCATGCTCATGGAACACCATTTCTTTAGACATGGGTCAAGCAGCCGTGGCAGGAGCTTGCCAACCCTCTCAAAAGGAGCTCCCTCACAGAAGCTCAGCCTGAAGCTGTGAAGTTGTACAGCATGTACCTGCAGGCACAGAAACTGCAGTTGCAGAAGAAACTGCACCGTTCTAAAGCTGAGGTATGGAGAAAGCCGGTCTCTTGTCTCTTGGCAGGGGCCCAGGCCTTTTTTGTAGCAAACCAGAGCAGGGACCTGATCCTTTCTTGGGGGTTTTGTCTAACCCAGGGTGGTTCAGTGTGCGGTTTGCTGTGATGAGCGGGATGGGAGGGAACAGCACTGCTGCCTTTGGTGCCTGCCTGTTTGCACCACTTGAAGTAACAGCGGAGGGCTGCACTAAGGTGGTCTTAGTACACCAGACAACTTTGCAACAGGAGTAGACTGAGTGACATGTAATTGACTCGCCTTGTTTTATAGGCCTGGTGCCTACAATCAGTCAGGTCACTAACCGTGAAGTCACTTTGTCCTTGACTGGAGAAGGGGGGGTGTATTCCTTTCAAACAGCTGCTTCTCAAGGTTCACGGATCACGTGTATTTGCTTCTTCTCTTTGGCTTGCCAAAGCGGAGTGTGTGCTGACAGAGAAAGAGTAGGCATACTGGAGTGTCGTGCTCATGCTTTTTTGCATTTCCTCACCACATCATCATTGTTATGGAGTTGCAAAGTCACTTTAGGAGCAGGAGGAGCTCCTAACCATGTTGGAGTAGCCAACAAGTGGCTACAAAGAGTGTTTGGAGTCCTTGAGAGAGGAGGAGGAGGAGGAGGAGTGTTGTGGCAGCGTTTAGGAAACGCTTTAGGAAATCATTTTAGATGTAGGAGAGGGGCCAGTGTAAAAGATGAAGAAGTAACATGGGTTTTGAGACTCGACATGAGAGTCAAAGCAGTCCACTCCTTTTTATCAAACGTGGTTCTTCTTGTGGTTTGACAGCTGCAGGAATTAAAAGAACGGCATATCCGGACTGAGTGTTATGCCGAGTACCTGAAGAACACCATCAAGAGGAACGAGAGGGAACTAACAACTTCCAGGAACCTGCAGGACCTTCTGTCCACATCTTCTGCAACTGCAGCTGTCCCAGGGCTGGAAGACCCCATACAATGGTAAGGAAGTAACACAGCGGAGCAAGGCTTCGCTTTCTGCGATTGTGTGAAAACAACAGGACTGTCTTCTTGCATCCCAGCAAGATAACAATACACGATTTTCAAAGACGCTTTTGTTTTAGATGAGGTTCTTTCACATTCTTCTTTGGGGATTTGTGCTCTTGTGGACTTCTGTGGTAAGGCCTGTACTTCTTTTCCAGGCTCCAAGGTGAAAAGGCCAGGCTGGAAGCCACAGTCCGGCAACAAGCAAAGACCATTGAAGCCCTTCGGCAAAAACTGCAAGGCCGTGCCTCAGTAAGCTAGTCACAGCCTTCCCTTTTCATGAGCTGCAGAGCCTAGTTCTGTATTTGTGTGGGAAGTTTTAAGATGAGGTTTTCCTGGAGAGCCTAGGAGAGATCAGCTTCTCCGTTCCACTGACTACAGGCTGCTCTGAAAGTCCTGCTGGCCCATTCCCCCAGCTTTCTGGCTTTGAGAGTTGTTCCGTGAGACTATAGCAAGTCCTTCTTAATGCTGTCTCTGTTACGGACTTGACAGCAATGCACTGGCTTAAGTATTTTCTGCTTTAGACCAGTCGCGAGGTTGAGACCTCAGGCAGCACTTCAGACAGTCCTGCAGCAGAGGGATTTGGTGCCTTCGGTTGCGGACACTCCTTGGGCTCTGGTGGTGGTGAGCACGTAGTCCTGCAGGCCTGACTGGCATCATCAAACTGTGACAGGAATTCTTCCGTGGCCTGTACTCTGGGCACCTTCCCGTTTTAGTGACTATGGATTCCTTGGCCACAAGGTGTAGCTCTGTAATGCCACGAGAAGACCTCCAAAGGTGAAAGTCTGCAACTAATAAGGGAATGACACCTCCGCAGGCCATATTTTGTATGCTTGGTTGGCGCTGCCATGAGGTATGACCTTCAGTCAGGGAAGTCCTAGGGTGACTTCTTTTTTCTTCTTTTAATGCTGCTGTAGTCTCATAATGGCCTGGAGGACTCCGCAACTGGCTTTCAGACAGCACGGACTGCAAAGGAACACCAGCGTCGGCAGGTATATGAACAGCTTCTGGGAATGACTGGTTTTAGTCTTTGAATTTCTTGTGGGCAGGTAATTTATGAAAAGGTCAGGTGGGCTGTGGGGAATCCCCCAGGTTTTTGGGCAGGACACCCTCAGGGGAAAAGTCTATACGTTTCCTCATTCCCCTGGTGCTACTGTGTTTTGCATCTGCTTGGTAGACAATATGCAGGCCCTTGCGTTCATCAGCACGATTCCTTTGATGGGTAGGCTGTGTGCTGTGGACAGGAGAGACATCTGTGGGTGAGAGCTGTGAGAGGAGACTGGACTTGGGAGACACATGTTTTCTTCTTTGTGGAGAACGCTGTCGGCACATTCTGCATGTGGATCCTGTTCCTGTGCCCTGTGTGTGATGTATCTTTTCTATTTTGGAAGCGTGGGAGCGAAAGCAAGGAAGTAAAGAAGCTGGGCAAGACGAAATGCCGATCAGAAGCGCTTCTGGATGAAGTGTCGAAAAGATGCGCCGCACTGGAGGAAAAACAGGCCAGGCATGGCTTTTTAGTGCTTTAAAGAAATACACACTGAGGAGAAGTCAAGCTTTACTGAACCCTAGTGTGAAAGCATGTAGATAACCGTTTGTGAGCAAATTCAAGCCTCGCATTCGATCTTGCAAGGTGCTTCTGTGCATGAGCCTATGGTTTGAAAAAGCTGCAAAAGGCCTCGCAAATGCAGGCTGCCTGCACTTCTCCTGGGTGGGAAGGAAGTCTTTTCTTCTTCTGTTCAGATAAATTTAGGGCCCTCCAAGTGTTGGGCGGTGCTGGGGAGCTGGCTGTTCCCAGTAATGCCTGGCTTGTCAAGCACATTACAGAGGAAGCAAGCCATCCATGGCTGTGCTGCTTACAGAAGAGTATGTGAAAAAGGCCGACTGCTGCTTTGCTTCACGCTTTCCTTACTAATTTGCTGTGCAGGTTGAAGATGCTTCTGCAGATGTCTCTGACAACCCTGACTGCATCTGCGGCGAGAAGGAGAAAGTCCCAGCTCGGCTTCCGGGGAGAGATGAAGAAAGTTGTTCCGAATTGACTAGCTAAATTGGTAAACTAAGAAGAAAGGTGAGCTCTGGTTTGTTTGGTGGATTTGAGGCGAATTTTTTTTTTCTGCTAGAACCTGTGTGATTCTTTTCCTATACTTTTTTCCGTGTTGCTAGTTATCTCTTGGCGGTATTTTGCAAGTGATTGACTGCTCGTGATGCTCCTGCTCCTGTTGTAGCAGTAGATGATGATGATGATGTTGATGAACACAGGTGTAGTTGTCGTGATGGGTAAAAACCATGAGCCAGGAGTCCCAGCAGGGCGCCTGCGGTCAATGGCCTCACTGACCAGGATGCAGTCCCAGGGGCCCTGAGCAAGAGCAGCGGAGCTGGTCACCACACATTGAGATTTTCATCCATTTTAATACTCTGTCTGCAGGTGGCGAATGCAGTCTCAATGGCCCCCCACCTTACGGATTTCCGCAGAAGTGAGTAACTTCAGAGCTGTCTCTTTGAGTTCCTTTTGTTCCGCTGCCTACAAGTTGGCGACATTTCCCACCATCTGGAGATGCAGTTGAAAAAAACGCATGCAGTGGGCAAGACAAAACCCGGGCCTGTGAGAAAAGTTGTCCACTCTGCATGGGACTCAGAAAGAACTGGGGCAGAACTGGGGCTTAACCTCAGAAGTCACTGGGAGACGAGCATGATGGGTCACAGCCAAAGAGAGCAGTCTAAAAGAGAGATGGGAGAGGGAGCCGGGCAAGAAATAAGGCAGAAACCGCAAGAAATTAATCCGTATTCTCCATCTAACACCATTTCCCACGTGTGCCTGTCGCCTGTAGGCTGTAACTTTGCTGTTGACATGTTTGAGTGTTTGGTTTTCGGTACCTGGATCTGCACGTTAGTGCTGTACTCCCAGGATCCACTTTGCAGTGCTGCCTTTGGCCCAGCCTGCCGTAAAACTAACGCACAGCCTTTTCTTTTCCCTCCCTCCCTTGCCCCGTCACAGCCGAACCTCCAATGCGGTTAACGATGAGAAGATGCTGGAGCAGAGGAAGTGCCAGTGCCAGAAAAGAGTGCTCCCAGGGCTGATGCGTGAAGCCTGGAAACCTTTGCCTTCCACCCCGTGCACCCCCCCACCCCACATGTAATTCCAAGTGTTGTGTTGCAGTTTGGTATTTAATAAACTCTGTCACCTAGCACGGGTCTCAGTTTTGCTGCACAACTGGAGCTCTTCG